CTCCTAATGTTGTTGAATAGGTAAGTTTTCTTATACAAGTATAGAAGCCACTACTTCTTTGCATGTAAAAGCTTAAAAAAGTGATTGCATCCTAAGCTAAACTATTTCAAGTCTTACATCACTATAAAATCTTATAAAAAAATCTCCAATTCAAGTAGTTCTAAGAGACAAAGTATTCAACGTATTTATAATAGTATCTAACTTAGACTCAATATACTCAACTATACTAATATCTTCACGTCCAATAATCTTGAAAGAAAAAAAAAAAAAAAAAAGTTTCTAAATAATATCAGTTTAAAAGAAGATAATCTACAACTTCTAAAGTGCTCAGATGCTTTCAAATAGAGAGATAGTTCATTCTTTATTAAGGAAGATAAAGCTTTAGTATTAATAAAAAGGTAGTCTTGATAAGCTATCATAAATGTACTATATAAAAGACCAAACTAGAAGTTGAATAAAAGAGATTTAACAAGAAAGCTAGCATGAATTTTATTCAAGTAGATGAATATAAAATCAATATTAAGTGAGGTGAACTAAAGCTCTAAGAAATATATTATTAGAATTCAAGATCCCTTTAGCCTTGGCACTAATATATATTAGATATTAGGAAGCCTCTCAAGAAGTTCTCATATTGCTTGGAGATGAAGCAATCCTAAGATCCTTCTTAGAAAACTTCCTTAATCTTCTTAGAGCTTTCTAAAATTTGTTGGAATATTTTGAAAACCTTCTAAAATCTTCTAAAAATTTCTAAAAATCTTTTTGGAATTTTCTTGTAAGATGTTTGGAACAGAGACGGGGAATCGAGATTCTAATGATTGTTTCTAGAAATTATCTATTTTTCTAATGATGGTTATAATAGGATAGATTGATATAATAAATGGATGGATTATTTTAATACTTATATATATATATATATATATATATATATATACATTAGAAGAAATGCTATTATAATTGTGATGCTTTATCAATCTACAATGAGAAATTTTAGGATATTTTATTTATTGTAATTTTCTAATACCTACACATCAAATATAAATGTAAGGAGTTATAAATAGATAGATTTAAAAAAAGAAATAATTTATTATGTATGGTATTAAAAGTCTTAAATGAATCCATAAATAAATAATATTTTAAAAAATATGAGTACATATATGCTTCTTAAAGAATCTTGGATACAAAAAAATAAAGATCCTATTCATGCCACGCTATCTACAAATTTGATGTTACAAATAAGTGTAGGGAATTTGTACCAAAGTGAGAGTTTACTTGAATCAAGAAAAAAAAATTATCCTTAATCAATTACTTTTAACAAAAGAGAAAAGATTTAGAATTAAATGGCCTCAAAAAATAAACCTTATTCTTATTATTTAAAAATATAATAGACTAATAGATATATATATATATATATATATATATATATATATATATATATATATATATATATATAGATATATATAGATATACATATATTCATCTTAAGACTTAAAGACCAAGTTTATTATTCAAAAAATTTAATTAATTAAATTAAATTATTTTTAAAAAAAATAATCATATCAAAAAATAACTTAAATATTTTAAAATATTATTAAAAATTAATATATAAAACTAAAAATTATTTCTATATTTTTATAATTATTTTTTATAAGTCTTTAAATAATATTATGTAGTTTAAATATAAAAATATATTTAATTTAATTATATTTTTTTAATTTTTAAAATAAAAATTCTTTATAATAACTATAAAGATTTTATAAATTATTTGAATTTTATTTATTTAGAATATATTTAAAAACGACTCATATCTAACATAAGTCATCTTTTATAATCAATCATGCTTATCTTATTGATACTTTAAAGATTTGATATATTTTTTCTTCTTTTTTATTTAATTTGAATTGCAATTATTTGAAATTACATTCTTTTTTGCTTCAAAGTTTTTTTTTAAAGAAATGCATATAATATGATTTTTTCTATGGAAGCTTTTATATGTTTTATTTATATTTTCTTATGAACCAGATTAAAAATCTAAACTTAAATGTATCTAAAATATATTTAAAGGTCAATGTTGGTTAGATCAAAATTAAATCTTAGAAATAATATTTTGAAGACATGTCTCTTATTTATTTTCTTATTTCAGGATATTATAGTTTATGTAAAAACTAGATATATATATATATATATATATATATATATATATATATATATAGTATTAAAAAGAAAAAAAATCCATAAATTTTTTATCTTGCTTTAGTTTTCTTTATGAAGTAGAGATACAAATTAGTCTATTTTAGTAATCAAATTAATCTATTTTAATAATTATCAGTATCAATTTTAATAAAATTTTAATATATTTTTAATTTTTTATTTAATTTTTTCTAACAATATAATATAAGATATATTATTTTTAATATAAATAAGAAATTAAGTATAAATAATAAAATATACATATAATATATTTTTTATTCTAAAAATTATATGTTATTTTTATAATTAAAATAATTAATATGAATGGAAAATATAGATATATATATATATATATATATATATATATATATATATTTAAATATTTTCTTATAAATCTTATTCTATACATAATATTCTTTTATTACAATAAAAGAATTTAACTTCCACTTAGTTGGTTACATACTAGTCTCTTTCAAATATCTACTCTTTGTTATTTTGTATAAAGACTTACATTGTTTTTTACAATTTTTTCTTTTTACTTGATATGTTTTGAGAACCATTAGGTACATACCTAGCTTTTATTTCATAGATACCTCCTATGCCATGCACATTCATATTGACACAATAAAATTCTTATACATATGAAAGCTATTTAGAGTAAATGCATAATAAAAGATTACCTAAATAAAATTAGTAGTCCTTTTAAGTAAATGAAAACATTATATAAAACATATTATAAAATTTTATTAATTTTAATCAAGATTTTTTTTAATAAATAAATCACACAAATCTCTTATTGCAAATCTACCCTTAATTGTTTTTAATGTTGATAGCTATTTTTTTGCCTGTATGTTGGGGTGCTTGGTGCTAGGGATGTCTTTGCAACAAAAAGTAGATGTCCACCTATGAATTCCCTTTTTTATTTATTTATTTGCACACATTTGTCACTCCAAAAGTTACAATAGAAGTCTTATGAAATCTTTGCATCTATGTTTTCATTGTAATTTATTTTATTTTATCGTGTACATTGGTCAACATAGCCACATTTTATTTAACATTTTTTTTTTAATCTACATTGTTAAAATTGCTTTAGCTTTGATATTTGTTAATAATATTTCGCTTTTTGTAACAACAGTTGAATTGTGAATCGTGCATGTATATTTCTTATTTTCGAAGCTCTATAGTTGGATTCTGAATCAGGGGGCAGGGAATTGCTCTACAAACATCTTGATATCACCACTTCAGAAGAAGAAAGAAAAAAAAAAAAAAAAAAAAAAAACGAATAAAAACGAATAAAAAATTAAAATAAAAAATGATTTGATTGTACCACCGTTCATCCTGTAATTTCCTCAGCAACAAACCTTGAGTTGGATACATCAGACATGAGCAGTTAAAATACAAAATTGATCCAGTTAGATTCAGAAAAAAGACAAAAGGCACATCCAAAGGGGGACATGAGGCGGAGAAGAAGCACGTTCGGCTTTGCAATCGTGTGTTGACAAAACCAGTTCAATGCATCAGTTGAAGTATTGTCGAAAGTATATGATTAGAACACCACTGGCAGTGAACCATGGTTGCATCGATTCTGAAGAGTAAAACTAGATAACTAAGTCAAGCAATGTGGGTGTCCGTGTGGGTGTCGGTGTCGGTGTGTTCGAGAGATGTAAAAAGCAAAGAACTTCAGTGACTGCTAGTTGTGTGATTTGATTTTCCTGGCCTCGTGTGTTGCAGAATCTGTGAATCCCGGCGACGAGTTTGTGGAGACGATGATCATGGATGCGGTGAAGTTGGTCCTGACAGTGTTGTTTGCGGTGTTTGTTATCGAAGTTGAGAGCCAGCGGCCCCCGAGACCCAGCTTTCCACCGTTTCCCCCGCTCGCACCGCGACCTCCAAGAGCTACTGCCTTGGTGCCACCGCTCGCACGACCTCCATGGCCCCCGTTTCCTCCGCTCCCACAACTACCTCCACGGCCCCCTCTACCGACGTTTCCTGGTTTTTCCCGACCATCTGCGCCAACAAGACGCTAGAAGAAGAAGAAGAAGAAGAAGAATGAGACTGAGTGGATATAGGGAGAAAGAGAGGTGAACTCTGCGGTCATGTTGATTACATTTCCGATCCAGAAAGCAAGTTGCTCCAGGATCCATTAACTGTGAGTGCACCGAAACGAGCTATTTCAATACATGGATTCCTTTTGGTAATCCGTTTACTGATAACGATGTGTATGGGTGTATTTATTTTTGGGAAATTCATCTGTGATGTGATGTTATCCTGCCTGATCAACTAAGTTAGGAAATTAAATCAGGAAACGGATCAGGTGATGACAGCCGTGCATCGATGGTGAGTTAGATCACACTAGAGTGCATCCGATATGTCACGAACACTGTGGTTATGTCCAGCGACGCACTGAAAAAGTGTGCGTTAGAGTTTGATCGTGGAAGGAAGGTGTGACTGCAAGTTCAAAAGAGATAATTTCATATTTTAGTACCGTAATCTTTTTGTAAAGTCGGAAGATTTTACTGTACCGGCAAATCGAGTGGAAAATGTAGGGCTGGTGGTTACGTTGACTTACGTGTGGTAGATTCGAGTCCCATGGACGTGGTAGTTTTCATCATGAGCAAGGAAAAACGTGCGAATATTGATAGTGGAGAAAACCTTGCACAAAATGCACCCAATGATCTTGTCAAGTTCGGAAACCGAGTGTGCGATCGCTGTATCTGTAAAGAAGATGGCCTTCACTTGTTGCTTAATGATTCTATTCAGGATCTTTCATCGAGGATTAATCCAACACTCAGATGCTTTTTCTGGAAGGAGTCTTTATGACATTAGGCAGGTCACAAATTTTATATTTAGCAATTGTTTATTAGCAGGTCACAAAAGACTTTGAATGATCACAAACCACACTTTGTGTCCGACACAATTCTACCAAGTCCTTTGCAGATGGTTTTATTGACTGGAACTGAAACGTCATCAGCTGCAACCCAAAAATCGACGAAGGCTCCTCCCACTTGTGTATACAACTCCATTGGTGAAGAGATTGAAAATGGAGGACCATGCAGTCTCTGTAGGGTGGAATTCGTCCCACCAGAAGAAGTCTGCCTGGGAGCTGAGATTGCACAATGAGTATTGCTTGTTGCCTTGCCCGTCCACATCGCCGCAGAGTCTTCCGAACTGTAATCCAGAGCAGCATGGATCCAGACGAGCTGGAAAAATACACACAACATTCAGCACAGAGTATCTCAGATCATGATTATCCGCTCATTAGACTCAAGGGTAGACGGACTTAGGGAGATTAGTTGAGCTATTTAAGATCCGACCTTAGCACATGCTATCTAAAAAGGACAAAAACGTATATAGCTGGAATTACTGTAGATCCAAGACAGTTACTCCATTCACTGTATTAATCTCATTGCAGCATAATGACCAAGCTTTCCGCAGCAAAGCCTAAATGTTTTAATGCATGAAACAACCGAGGGCAATTCAAAGAAACTAAGAACAAATCCACAACGAAAAGGCACACACGCACATTCAACTCGGTCCCAGTTTCTACTGACCGATGGTTTCAAAAAAAATGTTCAGCTGATCTAAACAACATAACAGAGGCGGCCGTGGTGTGTCTTACCGTTATCGAACGGTTTGAAGATGATGGCTTCGAAGGCTAACTGGTTGTCTAGATACAGAACATTCGCATCAAATGGCAAGGCGGTTGTCAGAGACAGAGCTAGCTGGACATTATGTAATCTGGAAAGAGCATTGATTTCGATTTGGCATTCCTTGAAACCATTCGCCGCTGTGGATGCTGGACCACAACCCAGAGGACTCAGTTTAGAAACGACAAAGCTTCGGAACCCCAGGTCATACAGCGCTCTCAAGTCCTTCGTAGCCTGACCCACTACGGACGTGACGAACGTGGATATCGATACTGGATCCAAACTGCCTCCATTCCTCACGTATGCAGCGTAGTCGTTGCCAGAAATAGTGTAAAACACTAGCGATTCGTCATAACGGTTTCTGTAAATGCTCCTGGTCATGACCGCCTTGAGTTGCCTAATCTGATCTCCAGTCTTTGTGAATCCCTCATTGGGGAATACTCCTGCACCTCCTACTGCGAAATTTATACCGTCTTTTAACCGGGTTGAGGGAGGAGGATCTTCACGAGAGCGATAGGGGACCGGTTTGAGCCCCATATAGTCAGCTGAAAAATATCACAATTCCAAGTACCGCTTGTCAGAATGATATTACATACCAGTCAAATCCGGTAACCGAAGAGAATTATTACACCCTCATTTTCGCCTCAATCAACCACGTAATTCATAAGAAACAACGCAGACTTGCAGGGGCGAGGTGGTATGAACATTATACCGAGAAAATCAGAAAGCACTTTGCCATCACTGAATCGTCCGGCAGGCTTTCCAGGACGGGTTCGACCGAAAGGTGGTTGCCAAGATTGGTTTACCGACCCAATTGCGGTATAAGTACTGTTGTCGGGGTCTCGATTACCATTGTCTACGAAAGAGTCCCCAATTACAAAGATCCTGTTATACTTGCCGATTGTGCAACTTCGAGTTTGTGCTCTCTTTGTTGCAGTAACTGGGAGTACAGCCAACTGAAATCAGAAAATCTCTACAGTTGACAGTGCGTCTAAGAAGTTGAAACAGTGCACAAACAAAGAGTATTATCATCTTTGCAAGAGTGAGAACAAATCCAATCTAACATCTTAGGTTTTGAGTCGATCTAGCCACACACAAGCATAGGAGATGTACTAGTTTGAACCTTGTGAACAGCTCTCATGACTGAGAAATTCTGAAAAATTAACAACGTTCTAGACATGGATGGTGCTAACCTGCACCACAAAAGATCACTAGTAGGACTGCAATGTAATGGAGACGCAAGGAGCCCATCGCACAGTATTGTTTACAACCCACATAAGTTGTCTGTAACCACAGCTTGGCAGTGAGAGTGTAGGTTCTTGTTGCGTTGTTGCTGACACCCAAGATTCAGTACCACTTGCAAGTTTGGTAGGATATCCAAACATCCAAAACTGTTTTGGGAATATTCCAAAACATGTCTACCCCCAAACACTTTATATAGATACCAGATAGTCTCTATCTTCACATCAGAGGATGCTCGCAGTCGTGCACACACTGTGGCTATCTTGAAACATCGCCGCCAATTCCGCCATAGAACAAAAACAAAATGAATGTGATCTTGTTCACAAATCGTTTTTCACACCACCTTTGGAATCTGGAGCAAACGAGGAAGTCAAGGATCCCGGCTAACCATGTCCAAGGTTCGATCATGTCGACCGTTCCATCATGTTTAAGACTTTGATGCAAGGTCTAAAATTCACGCATTTCTGTCTTCATTCTACGCTGCAAAGTGATACCTAGATTCGATTAAATTCGAAGCATTCATGTTCTCAATCCTCGTGTTCGACATATATGATACCTCAACGGCATTTTAGTGCAATTTTGGAACGTTGTTCTCTTGTTATCGGATTCGGTGCCAGTTTCTTAGGAGTTTCGGACCACGTTACACTGAGCATCGTCCAATTACAACGATTTTCGACTCCAGCTAAGGAATCCTACTTAGATATGACTTGGCAGCCTATTACCGTCCAACAACACGTTTAACTTGTGACAAAGGAGACGATTTTGCAGGACAAAGCAAAGCAAGTTCTCACATGAAAGGAATGTCAGCCGAGACAGCCTTAAACACTCCACTGGCATTAACATGTGGTTGCAAAACTTTCAGAGGCACTAGATATGAGCAAGGAAAGAGTAGATAATTTGTCTCAAGGGCGCGAGTCTTCGTCAAAAGTTGCTGGCATTAAGGTATCACGAACATTTATTACAAAACGGAACTGAAAGTTAAACTACAACTTGTAAATGCCTACCGATTTTTATGTGAAACTTTAAAATATGTCATAGAGGCAAAACTACATCACTCGACGTATGCGTTGCAAGATAAGAACACGTATTCATGGAACGGATAACAGGTAAAGTGTAATCGTAATGTAAAAATGTGTATTCAGATAATTGTGTTTGGAGTAGGTGATGAAATTCTTGAGATACCTTGTTGTGATTGAACGAAGCCACGATTTGATACCTTTGCGCTGCGACAAAAAAAAAATGTCATGTCAAGGTGCCAAAAAGTGTAGCTCCACCACGTTTGTAATTTGGAAAAAGAGAGATAGCAAAACTAATGCACGTGTGAAGTACAATACTCCTTTAATACAGTCCTTGCATACACTCTTCAAGAATCTACAGAAAAATGTGAACGAATACAGTGAACTTGAATAGCAATCATTCTCAACTAAGCTTCGTCTCTGGGGTAATTCAGATCTTCCAGAATATGATTTACTGAATGAGTAGAGGCACAAGGTAAAGATACATGTGCCTGATTCCTATCACCAAAAACACGGATTTGAACATCTTAACAAGCCCGTAGAGAACTCAATTAGCCCTGGTAACAACAGACCGGTATAGTGTACACTACGGATATGGTCTTTGCACACTACATGAACAATCCTATTGAACCATGCTTCATGTGGAGGGAGACAAGGTAATACATTTGTACTCCCAACCACTACATGAACTAGAATATAAAAATGATGGACCAGCTCGATCTATATTACAAGGTATGAACTCCCGCATGAGAAGCTGATTTGACAGTCACACCTGCCTTGCACGGCCAAACTATCAACGGATGTAAAAATGCTGCAGGGAGGGCATCTTCTCAATCCTGTGGCAGCTGCCAGCTAGATTACAAGCGTGACTTCTCCCAATCGTCACCCTTGAAGAAACTCGCATTCATGCAGCCGTGTAAGGATCTCGTCGTAGCTAGGACGGGCTTCGGGAACTTCCTTCCAGCAATCTTGAAAACAGGCATGGATCGCGGTAATAAATTAGCGTCAGCACCACATATAGGGTCACTAGGACGCTTTAAGAGAAACATGCACTCAACAATTTAAGTTCAACTAGGGGTGCAGACTTAAAATTTAAACATACCAGCAATCAATTTGCCAATAAGACCGTCTGGAATCTCCAAACGAGCCTGATTGTGAGCAACAGCATTTACCACCTGTTCCATCGCAGCAGTAACAGCATTGTAGGGAATCAGGTGCCAATCAAACACCAGGTTTCAGTTTCTGAGAACCATGCTCATTAGAACACTAATAGATGGATCTGAATCAGCCGTATACAAGATGTAGCAGCCTATACGTGAGGGCTTGTAGAGAATGAATAACATAATTAGCACACGTACACTGAACTGGAAAGCATTGGATGTGGTGTAGCTTACTCCCCATCACAATCAGCTCAATCCAAGGGGAAGAATTACCTCCAGGGGCTTAATCCCTTCCCACGGCCGTCTCAATGTAGAAAGCTCCCACATTATGACTCCTAAGCTGAAGACATCGCACTTATCCGTGACTGGCCCATTTCGCAACAGCTCTGGCGCCGTCCATTCGGGAGTTCCCACTGCAGTGTCGTCGCAGTAAGTAGAGCCTGAGAGTATTCGGGACAAACCAAAGTCGCAAATCTTAACACTCCAATGCTTGTCCACCAAGCAATTAGCGCTCTTCAGATCCCGATGAACAATTTTCATTCGTTGTACACTCATCATTCCCCTGAAACCACATGTCACACCCAAGTTCAGACGTGCGTCCCATAAGCCTGTTTTTAAATAAATAACTGAACTCCAAGTATCATTCGAGTATATAAAGAACATTTTAGCCATATCGAGGCTACAGGTGATGTACAAATAGAAGCACGAAATAATCTGTTACGAGTAAATCCGTGTAGATACTATCAGGAAAAAGCAAAGACTGAAAGGTATGCAAGTCAATCACCATGTTCTAATTCTAAAAGCAGCATAACTCAACTATCCCCTACGCCTAAAAATTGGAAACAAAACAATGCCTGCAGATATCACGAAGCATTTTCAATCGACGACGCCAGCTTAGCTTTTTCCCCTGTTCACTGGAGTGAATTAACCGATAAAGCGAGCCCATATGCATGTACTCCGTCACCATCGAAAGATGTGGTGGCTTTGTACATGCTCCTAGAAACAATATCACTGCAAAAGATTCGCTTCAGATGAGAATAGGAGAAAAAATTCCAAACTACATCGCAAAAGATGGAGTAACTAAGTAAAAAAGCTCGAATTTATAAGTAAACTGAAAAAAATCTTTCAAATCACAGTTAAATCAAAAGAGATTTTATGTACCGTTTGGATGCCTTAACCGGCTGCAAGAGAGGCGCACCGACAGACAATGAAAATATGTTCAGTCCATGTGACCAGCATAATTCCTGTGAGTACGCAGAATGCTCAAAAGAAACAATGTTTAAAAAAAAACAAAATTCAAGGTCGTAATCGGTTCATTCACTTAGGAGACCAACCTTAACAATGAAATCTCGTTGCAGAAGTCTTGCATATTCTCAACAGTTAGATCTTGTTCAAGCATCACCTTAATAGCTACTTCTGTGCCCCTCCAGATCCCGCGAAATACTTCTCCAAAAGATCCTGCATTATTTACATCCAAGACTTCAGAAAAGATCACTACAGCCTGATGCCAGCTACGGTACTCACGTTGCAGAATCACCAAATTAGAGCATACGTAACCAGCAGATCATCAGTCGAGAATAGACTGAAACATCTATACAAAAATAAATAAACAAACAAATAAAAACAATTCAGCGTTGTACTTTACAGTATCCTACCCCGTGAAAACAATGAGCAAGAATGACGAGGTAAATGCCAAAAAACCAACCAATTCCAACACGGACACCAATTCGAAGCTCTGAGAAAGCAATATTCCATTCTTCGAATGGCATTAGAGGTCGGCTTGGCAGCGATGGTGACTGCAACGACAGATTCCAGGAAGGGATTGCATTGTTTGTATCTGAAACTAAACCAGATAATCCTATTGGAACCGAAGTTTCACAACTTTTAGTGGCCAACGTGGACGTGTGGGCATTAGATCCATGATCACCAGCCACAGTATGATCATGATTACCAGCCGCAGCTGGATCATGACTAATAGGACCAGAAACTTCCCCATGTCCCTGATTACCATCACCGTCTGTGTTGTTGGAATCCAGAGACCTCCCAGAAGCCTGAGATAAGAGAAGACCAGCTCATTTCATGAGATCTTTCAAGCTAATCAAGACACATGAAAATGAATGCATTAACTTTAAGCGACTTTGTAAGCTACTTCAAAATGCACACGAGATTAACACTGCATTTCCGAAGAGGCATTGCAAGGAGTAGGAAATAACCTCTAAATAACTTCATGAGGCAACAAGCATACTGGACACACTGACGAATTATAAAGTATAAAATATAAAAACTGCTCCTCGGTTTTAAAATGCTGTCTGCTAATCACTTAACAATTAACTAGTCGGATTCTTCACCATGTCCAATTCCCACTGTTAAACAAAAGCTTCTTGCTTTGGACCACTTGACACTTTCAAAAATGGCACGACCTACGAGATCTACTGGAAAGAATTTTTCGACCACTTGATCATTAGCTCATCAAGATTATGAGTAAGGAGTGCACACCACTCTACTTCCTTCACTGGAATTTAGAATGTGACCATCAGGCATAGAATTATCAAGCTTTCGATCTTTCGTTCGAACTCGCTCTTGCTTGAGGGCTTCATTCATCGCTCTTACAGCCCTGAGAATGCAGAATCGTAGCAACCAAGCCAATCACTTAACTATCCCGTCGAAATCTATGAATCAGTGTCACAGATTACATAATCACAACAAGCTCGTAAATATAGAAATCCAAATGCAAGAATCTCAAAGAATACCAGCTAATCACATATCTTTTTCGATACCAAACTGCTCCATGATTAGATGACCAGTTAAAGAACAAGCCACAGTATCTATATTTCGAAACCAAGGTTAAGATGCCACCTGACAACCTCGTCGCTGATCTCGGGTGTAACGGTCCGTTTCCTAGCCCTTCGCATTTCCGCATGTGGGCTGTGACTTAACCTGCGTATGAAGAGTTCAGAATACTCGGATGGACATCAATCAATCCCGATTAAGTATTCTCAAACAGAAGAGATAACTGTTTGACTACACAAAACTTGTCAATGTTAAGTCCCCAATTACTAGAATCATAAAACATGATGAACGAAACAGAACAATAAAACTGTAACACAAACTCGGACGAACATAATCCAATGTCACAAGATGATTTTTCATGCTAATAGCCATTAAGTTATACAATGTGTTTGATAGTTTGGTTTGTGTGTGGTGAGCGTGGATAAGCGTTTAAAATACTAACTTTGACAATGAGGAATCTCCCATATATTGAAGAAAGTCCATCCCTCTGGCCTCGTGCCTTATATCAACAGACAACGCTCTTTCTCTCCTGCAACCAATACCCTCTAGTCAGAAAAGCCCTTTCATCTGTTCTAGGCATTGACATCCTTTCAACGTGCACACTCGCAACGCCAAATGCGAGTGCAGGCACGAATGCCTTAATGCGAGTCATTCTGACCCTCACAAAATGCAAACTAAGCAGCTGATAGACTTCTCACATGTATTGTTTGCACAAAAAAAATCTTGCTCTGGTACAAAATAAACAGGCCAATTTCTTGATCAAAGGAGAGGTGTTATCAACCATAATGGAATACCACATTGACCCATCTGGGTTGCATCAATTTTGTTCTTCAGAGATGAAGGGAAGGGTTTGTGGTTGCCAAATCGATATTAAATAATGAGTCATTAAAGATGTCTAGCCTCTTGAGCTTTGCTACCAAATTAACAGGTAAAACTACTGCCCTCAGTTTTTCAGATATTTCAAAACAAGCCTTTTACACTCTCCTGACTTGAGAACCTTGATGTCAATGAATATGTACAATAGGAGCCACCTGGGTTATGAAGGTAATGAAGATCATGAAAATAACTATACATGGTAAGTTTCAACATACAAACCCTACTGAAGTCCTAAAAAATAAAGTCATTTTCCTCATATCTTTCAACAAAATTTCGAGTGCAAAAGCAGAGATACTTCCCAGTGAACTACGTAAATCCCCAAACTGTTGCATGCGTTGCAAATGCTCACATGCATCTGAATAGCAGATCATTCTACTTCACATAAACTTTGCAGATTTCAGATCCACCGGCACATAACATGGTCAGACCAAACCAACAAACTTAGAGGTACCTTGAAGTATTATGTCCGCCATGAAGCCGACTCCCACTAAGCATAGAATGTGCACGAGGTCTGAATACTGGATATTCAGGACTACTGAGAAAACAAAAATCAACAACCACAAAATAAACCCTCAATGTAAGAAGCATGATCGTTTCAAGAAAAAATCGTAAAAGTTAGCTTGTTCAAACCATATGAGGTACAAGAGCTCTTCGTTAACGTGGTGTACAACTCGACTCACTCAAGAGACCAGAACTCAACTCGTGCAGAAATGTCAATCGGTGATTTCCGGACAAAGTCTCCATTCCAAACATTACAGGTGGAAGTGATTGAGCCGAATAAGTTCTTTAACCAAATAAATAGCTAGTGGATGATGAAGTAAAACTTGCCGCTCAATCTAATCAAAGACGCATCAGAACATACGGAGAAGCACAATAATGAATTATCTGACCTCGGAACACTTCCATCTTCTGATCCAACTCGCTGTGATGGTCGCAAGCGAGTTTGCGCGTGCTCTGGACTGCATTGTTACATACATATCCCATTAATTATTTGTAATAAAGGAAATTATCCGAGTGCAGAACACATGCATCCATAAGACAAAATAGTTTGAGCATAGTACTTGAAAACTCGCCTGGAAGGAAAACTTCGAAAGCCCTCCATACTCGGTTTTCTTTGCTCTAGCTGAACTTCCGCACAATGTTCAGGACTAGTGAAACCAAAATAAGAGAGTTAAAATTACAATATAACATTATGAAATTCCTTAACCCTCCTTGTTCTTATTGAACAGACACACGATTGACCATACGGCGCTTTCGGACTACGTTTTCCAGTTCCACTTCTCAAATTATATCTACCAGATTGCTAAACGAGTACTACTTACAACCACAACGTAGTAAATACATTATATGGATATGTTGATAACCCCAAGCAACTTAATTCCACGAGCTTATCCATGTTTTTACTTCGGCATACACAACAACCATGGTATTCGATTGTTTCTGGCTATCGTAACAATAACGACAGCACAATGCATCACTTGACGGTTAACAATAGAGACCCTGTATCCTGTAAATCCTACAAACTACCCTCAAGGAACTAACCTAGTAGCAGCATTTTGCTCTTCAAGGACTCGTCGTTGGTTCCGCACACGAGGATTCGCTAAATCTGGCTCACTCTGAGACGGGCTGCAACAAAACCTTCAAAGCTTGCATGAGGTTGAAACACAGTTTCAACGAAATTAACTGAAAGGCATCGCATAGACACCTGTCTAACAAGGATACAATGGAATACTTAAACTCCCGCGCTCGGATAAATTCTTAAAGCGGAATGCATGGGACAAATTTCAGATAATCAAACAAGCTTATGATGAAAAATCGATAAGTAGTGAGCCTTCGATAAAAGAAGTACGCCCACTAAACAAAAACACGGACAATCGGCGACAGCTAAAATCCGTATTTTGCCTGTACAAGGCCAAAGTTGTAGAATAGTCAACTACTCCGAATTAGAAATGACCACCTCGTGCTGAAAACTATTTCCAAGGTATATGCACATGAAACATGTGTTTACTCTACTTAACCATGACACACCTTAATTTGCCAGGAAGTCCGACAACTGAATTAGGCCCAGCTACTGGAGCTGCAGTCGGCCCTCTTCTTGAAAATGGTGGACGAGCAAGTTCCACGTCTTGCTCCACGCTGAAAGAACCACAGAGTTAGAACTCGTAAGCTCTTCCTCCATGAAATAGGTTGCCACATATTTCAAATCTCATGTTCTGCAAGGCGTCCTCATAGAAACCAAAAACCAAGCAAGAAAAAACTGTATGAGAAGCAGGCTTGACATGTGCGAAACTAACATTTCATGATCCAACTTGTCAGGCACGCCATACAGCGGGCTATTCGGCTCCAAGGGAGAGTCGCAAGAATCATAATCCGCAGAATCACTATCTCCTGCTCCTGCAATGTGATACGTAACTAATGCCTTCCGCGAGAAAGGACGCAGATAGCCCGGATGTCGCATCACATCTACTAAGAGATCGATGCCATTTACTGTAACCACATTAGACAGGTGCTTGTTTGGGTTTGCACAAATCAAAGAGCTACTAGGTACAGCCTCCAACTGTAGACCCTGTTAATGCGGCCAAAAACAACACAATTGACTGGCTCAGTATGTAGCACGCAATCACCCGACAGTAACCTTAATTTAAATGCTTCAGAACAGAAAAAGAGGATTTTGCTCAGAATACCATAAGAAGGCGACTTTGCAATCCGACAGAATCTCCAAGAAATTTGAAGAGGATAGCCCGCGGTCGGCATAAGCCTTGTTTCACTTCTCCCAACAACCGCACAATGCCTCCTCCTGTACAATTGTGTTCGTCTCCAGTGGACTTCGTGGAACCCGTTTCAAAAAGCGGTCCACCATAGAAGTCAGCTACCTGATTGCACACCCCCACATGCTATTAATACCAGCTTTGAATCCTTCACTATAACCCTTTCATGATCGTACCATCCTACAGAAATAAAACCAAAACTCGTCCAACAGTAATCTTGAGAGCGCAAGTTTCGCTAGTGCGCCTGCCAGCCGACAAATATTAAAGAAACCGTGTCCATAATGAAAAACCAAAGAGCTAAATACTAAGGACTGACTGCCACTCTAGTGAGACATCTATAAGAAACCAGTGTCAGAAATCTTACCAATTCTGCAATTTTCTTGATCATCAGAAGAATATTAATGCCTATGCCTTTTACCATTACACGAGCCAGATCCTGCAGCTTCACAAGATTTTTGTCCTTGCTTGTGTCAACAAGTAACACATCCAATCCAAGAGACACCGGTCCAAGCAGCTGTAGGTCCTTCAGAGTTGGTATGGTTCGAAAGCGTGCCCTCAAGCTTCGACTCTGCCAAAGATTCATTAGTATCGCGAACTCAATGTGCATGAGTCTGGCTCGAAGATGGAGAGAGAGAGCGAGGGAAAAAAAAAAAAAAAAAAAAAAAAAAGGGGGGGGGGGGTAGAAATAATGACATTGCAAATCTCAGGTCATGCAGCTCTACCGTCAATACATTTGAGTATTCTGTGTTTTCGATAACTAAGTCGCACAAGGGACCGTATAATCCTTGCAAACGTACTTAATGATTGGACCACACCATCAAGAAACTAAGCTAGCCTCGACATCAGCTGCTATCCAACTTCCTACACAGGAACTAAACATAAACCTTACAATTCCTGAAAGTCTTCATATCTAGACACAAGTGATACCACCCGAAAATTTAGCGATATCTGGTATCAAAAGAACATGTGAGCTCCCTACTTCGAAAATACACAGATTGTATTGTCTCGTGCTAGTACAAGTATAACAGTGCAAGATTACAAGCATTAATCAAAATACGCTTGATAAACATCTGTAAAATACAAGTTAAAAGAAACCCTGACGTACAGGTATTACAGAGTAAAACCCGTCGGGCAGCCTGGAATCCAGAACTTTAAGTTCCCATAGAGTTTGAGACGCATCTCTGGAAGATAAGCCCTCAAGAGAGGGACTGCTCCTAGACTTGGTTAAGACAGGGGATCTTTCCGCAGATCCAAGCCCCACTCTCTTCATTTTTTTCACCAACTGCGCCTGCCACTCGGAATAGAGTCCCGAACCTTCTTCTCCATCTTGCCCTTCTTCGGAGGATTCTGCTGGTTCCTCCTGCTGTCACAATGTGCAACATCGAAATCAAATGAACAAAACCTCGACTCAGAAACGTAAGGCCGACTTCTCGCGCTCATACAGCCTATCCAAGCATGGCATATTTGCTGTAAGTGGCACTAAGGTCACACACCATAATTAAGTAGGGGTTAAGTATTGCCAGAGAACATCAAACGACAACAGTTGATGATAGCACTAAGTTCATACGAAGCCACTTGGAGTGATACTAAATCGGCATCCCGCACTTTCTGATACAAAAAGTTTCAAGCAAAAGGCAGAAGATGTCTCCTTCTGTAAAAGTCAATGAAACCACTCACTTTGTCCACGTTCGCCAAAGCTGCTCTTACCCATCCTACATTGATCAAAGAATACCAGTAAATTTTATTAATTCACGATTTGAGACTCTAATTTTAAGATAATCGTGCTAGCTATTGATATCAGTTTCAGGAATCAAATACAAATATCAAATTTCAAATCCACGGGCTGAAAAAATGAAATATGCACACAAGCAAGCGACACAAATCTTAAGCTCCAAAGAATGTAAACAACGTTGCTTATACATTGCTCTGATGAACTGGCTTGGACTGCAATAAACTGGCCTAACCCTTGAAAGTTACAACATTACTCTTAAAATGAGATGCGGGCAAACAAAATCTTGTGAAATGTGTGAAGGACCAAGACCTAACTGTATCTCAGGAATGAAACTAAAGGATGGGAAGGTTACATATGGTGCGATGAATAATGAGAATACGCAGCCAAATCGAAATATACAATCGGTGAAATTGAAAAAATATAGGACAGATGATCCGTGTACTTGCATTCTAACAACATGGACATTCTTACTCTGCATGAACCTGAGTTGACGACAGCTAATCAAGATCGAATGGAGCAACCCTAGAGCTTAAACGAGCATTCCCAATGCCATGAAGCACGACCTTGAATATGGAAATTGAGAAAGAACATCGAGTAGAAAGCAGTAGAGAAATCCAGCCCCCAGCCTGATTGCGAACTCATACATCCAAGATGACGCAGAGTAACGTCAAACAAGTACCTGTCTCTTCAGCACAGCTGCTGTTGTAATGCTGGCCTGTCTCAAGGCGAGCCTTGATCCTGGACAAGAATTCGGACATGAAGAGAATCGCTAGGAAGCCTCACAATTCCGAACTGGTAACGTCTCATATCATTCCAAGAGCCTTTAGCATCCAAAAAAAACTTGCACGGGCTCCCGTATCAATCCTTAAAACCCCGCATCGATCCGAAAATTCAAGCCAAAGACGCAACAAAACCAGGGAAAGCCGATGCACTCTGCTCACATCTCGTCGGTCTCTTCGCACTCCTCCTGCTCCTGCTCCTCTCCTCCTCCTCCTCGTCAACATGCTCCTCGGGCAGGCTTTTCCCACGGCTCAGAACTCTCCATTCTGCTCGGCCACTGCAAGTCCTGCACCATGACCACACCTCTCCACCCTACTTCACCTCCCTCCTTCCCTGCGACCAATTACTTGCCCAAACTATATTGTCTGCGCCTCGAGTAGCATCGAAAATTTCAATGCAACACACTCCTACTACTACTACAGAAGAAGAAGAACAACAACAAAAACAACGACATTGAGTCAGGCGACCTCGCAGCATCTTGCACGCACAGCATCCACCACCACCATCGCCGTCTCTCCCTTCCTCCCTGATGCTCTCTCCCGTCTTCGCTCTGATACCCGCCCTGATACCGCCAAATACCTCCTGTCCCTTTCCCCGCCCTTAATAATTGTGCCCTCCCGGGTATATGCCCTAGTAACTCCTGATCGGGCATGGGTTCCTCGACCTGTCCCGAGTATATCCGGGTCTTTCACCGGGTCTATGTGGCCTTGGAAGGTGGCTTGGAGAGATTCATTCATTGCATGGGCTTTGTGGAGAGTGTGTCGTCGTCCTTTGCCCATTTTCTCATGTCCCATTTGTTGCTACACTTGTTATCAACCTTCTAGTGTGTTTGTAGCAGCTACCAAGAATCAATCTCCCAATTAGGCATTGCGGGAGGATGAATATGTGAAACTAACGTTCGTTCAAATGAAAAAGTTCGTACAAGTTCCAAAAAGTTTGATACTTTTGTTAAATTTAGCAGCTCATAATCCAATGGTGATGGGATATGGTCAACAAGAGGTAGCCTAAAGAGAATTTTAAGTGCAAAAGGTAGCCTAAGTGAAAATCCTAAACCTTTAACATAACATGGCATGGAATAGTCAATACTAACTATTGCATCTACCAAGATTCAAACCAAATACTTTCTAATTATAAAGTCCCTCCCAATACATCTAAGAAGCCTCTTTTACCTCATGCTTTGGTTTTAAAAATAGACATTTGTGTTTTAGAGATGATTGAGTGTGTCTCTTGACCATTGTCCATATTTTGTCCCTAAGCTTGGAACATTTAAAACACAATTTTGTTGGGTAATATTCATCCACATGTTTAGTTAGAAGAAATCTATTTGCAAAACTTGTTCACAGTCAATTTAAAATAACTAATTTCTTTTTTAAATGGTTAAATAAATATATAAATTACACAACCATGTACATGTTACTTTAATTTTAAAACCATAGTACAATTTTGGGTTATATATATATATATATATATAACAGGTCTCAATTGAGTTGGTAAGGTATTTAAAGTATTTGTAAATGAAAGTTCTACTTTGGGAGACATATTATGAATACTTATCTTTTCTTTCTTTCTTTTTCTTTCTTTTTAAATGATGTATGCAAAGCAAATCAATAACACATTTTATGATTATAATTTTTTAATAAATAAATGATGTTCTGATAGATCAGTTGAGATGGTAAGTCATGCAAATATGCATTTATCATGGTTTTAGAACAAGTTTGAATGCATGATAAAAATGTTTAAAACTAAAAAAAATCTAAAATTCACATTTTATTTCATGTTTAACATTTCTCCACCTTTTTAACAATATTAATAACTGCAATCATATTGGAATACTTTAAAGGAATTTGCACAAAATAAGAATTTTTTTTAAACATATAGCACATTTTTAAAAACTTAACATAATATAATTCATTTTTAGTTTATTAAAATTTACTGCAATGAGAATATTCCATGGCAAGAAAAATAGAAAATAATAAAACAAGAATGTATGAATACCATTTCATTTTTAAATAAACTCGATTAAACGTCCAGGTTTATGAACATAAGCTGAATTCTTAATCCAATCATTTTGCACATTACATGTTGTATCAGGTTATGCTAAATGTCTCAAACTCTCATTAAAAAATGCAATGTAATTTCAAATACACTTGCATCAAATTTCCAACAAAAAAGATATATCTATTTGAACATGGTGAATTCTGGAAAAATAAGATGAAACTTCACAGACAATCATTTCATTACTTCCAAAACAGTAGGACTACAACATTGGACTAAACTGAAAATAAAAAAACATACAATAATATATATATATATATATATATATATACTCATACTAAGGTATATGTAATTCTGAAAAAAATAACTGAAAAAACAAACAAAAATGTTCATATATATATATATATATATATACATATACACATATTGAGAGGTTCAGCATTGAATGATCAAGTCAGACGTTGTGTCTATATATCAACAATTTTGGAATCATGTAATAAAATTATTAAAAATCTCCTAAGGTCTCAACTGACACCAATATAAATATTGAAGAACACTGATCACATTGTTGGTTCACAAACGATCTTCAAATCTTTTCAATAAAGTTAATTATTTAAAATATCATTTGGACCGGACAAATGAAAATGCATTAGAAACTAAGTATCCTACAAGTATTTGAAGACTCATACTTGATGTAGCATTCATATTACAAGCTTTACATTTTCATTAATATTCTTGTTCTTTTTATAAATCATTTGAATACTCGTGTATTATTTTAGTATCATGGATATATCAAGTGTTAGAATAGTATCGTTTTTAAAGTAAGTATTCATGAAGCTCTTGGAAGAGACGTGTTGGAGAATGTATTCTAAAATTTACTATAATATTAGTAAAAAATTCAGTTGTTTTGGTGTAAGAGGCTGCAAAATATTTTTGGTTTAGATTTTTGGCATTGTTGAGATTTTAACAATTGTTTTGCAAAAACCAAAAAGTGTTACTTTGAATCCTGCACTTTCTTTTATATTCATATTTTAAATTTTGAATAAGATACATATACATATAAGTATAAATATATGTAGACCCAACTTACACTATTCCTAACACAAATATTGATATTGTTATAGTGTAGGTTAGTTCCAATACACTTTGACTATTTATTTTTATTTTATTTTATTTTTTATGGAAAGGAATAATGCATGAACATAGAAAACATTAACAACACCACCAACTTGCTTGCCCATGATTTGTAATTATGGATTAGGTGAGTTCAATAGAGCTCAGTGGGTACTTGATAAATGCTCACTATGAAAAGGACCAATTATATATATGACACTTTTGTTAGTAATTTTTCAGTTTTTGGTAAAAAAACAAAAAAAACAAACAAATTGATGTCAGATCAGAGATTTGGTAGGAAAATGTAAACTTCCAATTTGAATCAGAATGTTCTATTTTAGTTCAGTGACCCTTCAAGTTTTGTCATGATTTCAACCAGTTGTAAAGTTCTCATCACTGATATCAATCCACATGTAACTACTTGACACATCTTACAGTCCAGAAAACATTCATGCAGGCAAAATTATACTATGCAACATTACTTCATTCTCCTCTACGCACAATTACCTCTTTTCTTCAATAAAAATATAATAATAATAATAATAAATCACTACAGGAGTTTGTGAATTCTCACCAATACCATACACCTCTTTGTTGAAATTATTAGAGCCTTCCACAAATTGTTAATTTTGAATCACCACACATGAAATCACACTGTAGACACATAAGTTCCAGAGGTGCAATCTTTCTAAGTAAACAGCAAACATACAACAGCCAACATGTAAGAAAGCATGGTTCACATGATGTTGTTGGTTCAAGCAAATGAAGCAGTTAGAGAATTTGATTGATTATTTTTATTATTTTATCATTTTTTATCTTCAAACCACCCAATATCCAACACCAACAGGCAACAAATGCAAACCTGTACTTGACCATCATCTGAAAAAGAACACTAAAGATATTATTATTATTATTATTCCTCAGAACCCACCATTACCCCCCCCCCCATTATTTATTTATTTTATCACACCAACCAATCCATTAGAATGGACCAGCAAAGGGGGGGGGGGGGTCAGCAGGACCGACCACTGGGACACCAGCTTTTCTGAAGGGGAGATAGAAGGACAGAGAGAGGGTCCACCATCTTTTACTTTTTGAACTTTTATAATTCTTTATTTTATTTTATTGCTTTTCTTCGATGGAGACCAGGCCCATGGGGTCATCCATCCTGGTCATGCCCCCCCCCCCATGACCTCATGCCATGCCTGTGAGGTTCCAAAAGCACCACATCATGATTGAGACAGTGACAACAATCATGCCACATGGATCAACAAAGGGACGGATGGACAGACATGTAGATGGATGAGGTTGATGAATGTGTAGATGGATGAGGTTGATGAATGTGTAGATGGATGAGGTTGATGAATGTGTAGATGGATGAATCGGTGAATATATTAAATGGGGGAGAAGGGGTGTGTGTGTGTTTGTTCTTCTTTCTGTTTTTGTTTACTTTTCTAATTTTCTTTTCTTTTTCCCTGTGGAAGGAGAGATGTTTTCCTGCACTGCAGCCGGAACAAATATTCTCTGCATGCAGAAGGTCACAGTGAAAGAAAAATAAATAAATAAAAATTAATGAGTTTTGCTGCTTTCTTTTTCTTTTGCAGAGAGGTCAGTTCTACCAATTGCTTTCTCCACGAGTAGATAGATAAGTATGTGTGTTCTTCTTTAAGTAAAAGATAAATTGAGGGGTTATTTTCAGCTGTCTTGGGTGTTGTTGTTGCTGTCAGTGTGACAAAGCCTGACTTGGATGGATGGATGAATTGTTATATGGATGGATGTATGGACAATTGGACAGAGAATGAGATGCACACTGACTCACCTCCCTCTCATCACATTATAATACTAATAATAATATCAACATTGATGCATGAATATATATATATATATATATATACAAATCCTCAACAGTAAGATAGACCAAACCTTCTTCTAGTTTTGTTTTGTTCTTTGTTTCATGTCTCTGTTGAGAGGATATTGTTTGGTGGATGTAAACACACATGAGTACACACACACACACAATTCAACACATGCACACAAAATGGCACCAATATTTACAAAAACACACACCCAATGAATTAATGAATTCATCCAAGTCCATCCATCCATCCATCCACCCATGGGGCATCATGTCAGTCCCACTGTTGAAAAGTCCATCACTATGATGGAGCAATTTTGAAGGCAAGTATATAACTTGAAATGTGGGCATGCAGAGATGATAATGATGATGACAATGGAAATTAAATTAAGGATAATTTAATTAAACATAACAGTGGGTTTGGTGGGTTTTGTGGGGTGCCAATGGGCTTAGAGATAGAGAAAGGACACATTGGGGATTGGGTGCTCAGGCCATGCAGGGGAACGGAATGGGAACACAATTGGGAACACAATTGGGAATACAGTGCCTGAGTACTGGTGGGGTTTTCTTTT